ATCCCCCCACGCTTGCAGCAAGAGCTGCCTTCCCTGCGTCAAAGGGGAAAGTTGCTCCCAAGCCAGTTTTGGGGCCCAGGTCATGCTGGGTTGAGTGCGGTCATCTCCCCGCGAGGTAGGAGCAAGTGCTGCAAACAGCACTGGGTAAGCAGCCAGGCTTCAGTTTAAAGGTGATGTGGTTGAGCAATAAAGCCTCAGTGTAGTTGGTTGGTTTTTTTTTTTTTTGGTGATGAAGCTGCTGCTGGAGGGAGGCAGTCTGTACCCTCCCTCTTTGCATCGCCCCTGCTTCCACAAGGGAAGGATTATGTTCCCCACAGTGGGGAAAGCTGAGCATCCCCCAACTCGTACTCAGCATCTTCACTCCCTCCACAGCAAGTGGAGATCTGAAATGAATTTGAGATGAGCCAATGACCTTTGGAAAAGCCTGATTCTGCACTGAGCACCAACCAGGCCAGGGCAGCTGAGCTGCTCAACCTGGAGGAGCAAGGGCTGGGCAGGGAGAGAAACCTCCCTTGTGGCTCCTGCAAGGACAGGCACTGAGGTAACAGCTCCAGCACCTGAAGACCTATTGATTCTGCCAGAAGCTGCTAATGCAGCAAGTCTTTTGCCTCAACTCACCGTGGCAGCGATGAGGAGCCAGCTAGCAACAGGCTTTCTGGCTGAAAATCCTAATCCCACCCCAGCTTCCCATAAGCCAGGAGACCTTCTGGGCTCAGCTGCCTCTGTGGCACGCGAGGGATTCAAAGACGGATTTGGCTTTGAGTGCGCTCAGGTCTCCCCGGGTGCCTGTCCTGTGGCTTCTGCCCCAGCTCCACTGTCCTTTCCCAGGGACAAGGCCCAGCTACAGCTGCCCCTGCAGCTCCCCAGGGACAGATCATCTGAGGGGAGCCCTAAAATAAATCTCCAGGGAGTTATTTCCCCCTGGGGAAGGGAGATACTCCAGCAACATGGCTCTGTCATTACTCTGAGCTCAGCAGCAGGTAGCTGGTCTCCCTCTCAGCAGATAGAGAGAAGATACAAGCTCTGCCTGCAAAACAGGAGCAACAGGGCTGTGGTGGGCAAGGGAGACAGAGAGACACATACACAGACAAGGGCACTGTCAACCAGTCAATCCCATCTTATTGTTTCCGATACATAGGAAGTACTGCTTTCCAGCAAGGGTCCCACCATGTAAGGTTTTTGGTCTGTAACATCTGGCTCTGTTTACAAAATCCCTGACCTCAAAAACAACTGCCCTATGCTGTTCTGTAATGGTACTTTGGTTATCTGGGCTTTAATGAATGACCTTTATGAACAAGGCAGAGCACATCCCTCCACAGATCAAGAAAATCCTCTCTAAGTCTTCAAATCCCATTAACAGAATGACTGTACAAACAACGTGACCAAGACATGCTGTCCCACCCTGCTGCCTGCAGGGAAACCCAAGCAAAGTCCAGTTCCCCTAGGCGCCGCTTAAACATCTCCCCATTTAAGAGCCACAAATGCATGTGGCAACACTGGTGCAGAGCGGGATGACTTTGGGAGATCGCCCCAGCCTGGGCTTTCCTCCTAGTATTTATTGCATGTTCCTCTGTACTGCAGCCATCTTCTGAGGGCGAGAGTATTAGAAAGGAAATTGTACAGAATCAAAATGGAATTAAATGGAAAAGAGGTACCGGTTTAATACCAAAAAAAAGGGAAAAGAAATGAAAACAAAAGGAGACATAAACTACGAACGCTGTCAGAAGGCAGAAGCTACTCCTCCCCGCCAGGCTGAGGTGCTTCTCAGGGATTTATCTTTGCTTGGCACGAGTGGCTGGCAGTGAGGGAGGCCAGCAGGTTATATTCACTCCTGTCAGCACATGACAAAACTGAAAGTTTTAAAGACAAACACCAGCCTTCAACAAAACATGTAGAACAGAGATAACAACCTAGAGCATCGGATCAACACCTGATGTTGATCCTTAGAGAATCTCCACACCAGTCTGCAAAGCCTTCCAAAAAAACATTCCTCATTCTGCTTAAGAAAATTAGGAGGAAAAGGGATGGCCAGCCATCCCAGCTGGTGCCTAAGCCTTGCGCTTCTTCGCAGCCGGCTCTCCCTCTTTCCCCAGCCACTGCTGCAGGATACCTGCGCTGGTCTTCTTGGGCGAAGGGCTGTGGATGAACTGACTTGTCCACCTGGGCAAATTATTTTCTTTCTTCTGAGGAGAGCCCTCTTGGGAGTTTTTTAACCAGCCCAGCATCACTTTGCTGCTTGGGGTGGCTTTGACCTCCTGGAGAGATAAAAGACAGTGCGAAAGAAGTCAGAAGCATGGTGAGAGCCGGGCAGACAGCCGACTGTGAGAGCTGGTCCAGAGTGGGATGTGGAGGCTGGAGCAACAGCCCTGCCTGCAATCAGGCACATCTGTGGGAGGTTCCTCAGGCTGCTGGGAACAGGCTTGTTCAAACCCCATTTCACATGGAATTTGCCTCATTTGGCAGAGAAATCCTGGCACGGGGTGACAGTTTATTTCTGGAAGCGGAGGGAAGGGAATCTGTTCGGGGCTCTGCACTCCAGCATCAAGCACAAGCATGCCCTGCAGACGCTGCCTCCTGCTGCCCCTCCTGCAGCCTGGCAGCACCATCCCTGCTGAGGGACATCACCACGGCCAAGCTCTCCCCTGCTGAGCCCATGCCAGCACTCACCTTCTTGGCTCCCAGCTCGATGGGTGCGAGGCACTCAGGTGTGTTGTTGCGGACACTGTTGACAAAGGTGGACACTGGGTGGAAAACGATGTTCTCTGTGGGCTGGATGAGTTTAACCGCTTCTTGGGTTGGCACTTCAGCAAAGTCCAGCCATTTCCTGATGGCCTCATCCCCATCCAGGATGGCTGGCATCCTAGGGGACAAGACAGTCAGTGCTAAAGCCCAGCACTGATATGGCAGAGCCAGGTGGCAAAAGCCAGATTTGTAAGCTAGCAAGGAGCCAGCAGCTCAGGAGGAAATGGGGAAAACCAAAGCAGCAGGATGCTCTTCTGCAAGGCAAAGCACACATTCGCTTTGCCCAGGTACCTGCTTTGCTGGAAGAGGCAGAGGGGTTGACTGCCAGGCCCTGGTCAGGCAGAGAGCGATCCAACTCTGACTGCCACCCACCAGGGCACAAAGATAGTGATTTATGGAAAGTGCATGAGCCAGTGATCCGAAACAAGCTGGTAATGTTGTAGCATTTTCCTCCGAGGGCATCAGGAGGAGACAGGACTCCCTGAGCGCTGGCAGACCGGTGTTTAAAAGCACGTCTTTTCTCCCTTGCCCCCCGCCCCTGCCCTGCGGCCCCCCTTGCCCACTCTCACTTGCCTGTGATGGATGAAGCTCACGTCCTTGGAGGCATCCACAGTGATGATGGTGTAAGTGTACAGCATTTCTCCTCCTGCTGGTGGCTCCCAGCAGTCAAAAATCCCAGCCATGGTGAGCAACCTCCATCCCCTCCACTCCTCGTCTTCTTCCTTCCCCTCAGCCTGCAGGAGAGAGGGCCCCATGGCCCTGGTCAGTGCCCACCCATAGGCAGCCAAAGCATCGCAACTTGCCAGTGCCACGTCAGATCAATGGCCCTGATCTAAGTCACGAACTGAACCGATTTGAGCACTTTTCAGAAGCCCTTCTACTAATTTAAGGTAGCTTCCAAAGAGGTACCGTGAGCCTCAGGCAAGCCAGCACCCTTCTCCCCTTCTGAACATCCCAGCCACCGGCTCAGCTGAAGGAAAGAGGTAGCGAAACTCCCAGCCCAGTCCCTTGTGAGACGCATCACCCACCCATGCAAATATCTGGCACACGGGGAGCAGCGAGCGTGACGGCAGGGACACTGCAGCACCGTTTACAGCCAGGGGACTGCAGTGGCAGGAACCGCTGGCGGCAGAGCGTTGGCAGAGTGCCGAGCCCACCACAGAACACAGCCCCATTGGGAAAGAGACCCCCAGAGACAGACACTGCTGGAGGGAAGAAAGCTTTTCCCAGAGCTGGGTGTGAGCATTCAGACACGGAAAGGGACTCCATACCACAGCGTCCTTGGTCTGAGGGAAGTAAATGAAATACGGCTGCTTCCCCCCACTGTGCGCCTGCCACTCGTAGAAGCCATCTGCCAGGACCACGCAGCGCTTGCCCTGGAGGAGAGCGCCCTGGGGGAGAGAAAGCACAAGTGAGCTGTGAACAGCAGCCTCGGGCAGCCTGTGAGGGAGGACAGGGGCTCCTGGAACCACCCAGCCCACTCGCTCACTCTCTAGGGGCTTCCCTAAATGGCCCTGCAGGGTGCCCAAATGCCACCACCAATGCTGTGATGAAAGATGAGCTTCACCAGCAACAATCTTTTCAGTTGTTCTATTTTAATGGAATCCCATCAGCTCTGCAGTACAGGGCCGTACTCCCCTGTGCAGCAGGCAAACGGTGACTGGTGCTCGCTGGGGAGATGCTTCACCTCTGGTTTTGCCAACTACAAGATCTCTTCAAGCTAGACACAAAGACAGCAGCAACTCACCTTGTAGGAGGACTTCTTCAGCATGGTGTCACTGCGGCAGTTGGAGGTATTATACTGCATTTTGGAGGGGTCATCCTTTTTGAACCAGGAGGGAACGAGGCCCCAGCGCATGTCCATGAGGACTCGCTCGGAGGAATCAGCATCCTTTCGAACGAGACAGGGAAACACCTTGAGTCAGAGCCATGTCACAGGGACCACGAGCATCCCCACTGCTTGAGAGGGGCTTCATGGAGCCCTGTGGAAGTGGCTTTTCCTCCTGCAAGGGGGGAACAGGCCAGCATCTCTGCTGAGCTGGGGCTCGCAGCCTCTCCAGCCCCAAATCTGTTTCTGCTCTTCTGCAGGGATGCAACTCACAGGCTGTGCAGAAACGGCCACTAATTATAACCCTTTGCATACTCCTAATGACTTTCCTGTAAGAACTCACCTTCAGCAGAAAGATACGAATATTCTGCAGGAATATATAACTAAGGGTCTCAGTGAGGCTCGCCCAACAAACTCTCTGGAGGAATGAACATGGCTTTTCGTCAATGGGAAGTGCCTGGACACGTGATCTCCCCAGTAAATAGTAATGCCAGGCTGGTGTTAAGGTCCTCAAAACTTCCCTTTGCAGCGAGCGCCCCGCAGGGTGTAAGCCTCACCTTCATTTTAATAACGTGATTTCTGCTGACCTGGTTCACTTTCACTCCTTGTGCTTTGCATATGATCTGCCTTCGGACAATGGAAACGGCTTGTGGCTTTCACTTCTCCCCCAGCTCACTCTCACTTTCTGCCCGCAGCTGCCAGCCCCAGGAAGCGCGCAGCGAGGGTGAGCAAGGCCCCGGGGGGCATGTGCTCCCAAAGAACTGCAGTAGAGAGATATATATACCTCCTATAGGTGTATGTATATAGGGACGTGTATACGCCCAATTTTGTGAAGTCTTCCAGAGCCTCCCACAGATGAGGAGTGGCAAAAAGGGGCTCCTTACACTGCACCCGTGTCCCAACAGCTGAACAGAGATGCACAGCCACGCAGGTGTCTGCCTGCAACCTGTATCGTGCTCCCAGCCCCGTGTTCCTCTGCTCCACCAGCTTCTTGGCTGCTCTCGGGGGGATGCGGGACCCCGAGGCAGGAAAGAAGGGTACAAAGGATGCCTGATGGCATCACCTACAGCACTCCAACGTGGCCCCACCGAGTAACACAGCCATTACGCAGTGCAGCAGCCCCTTTCGCTGCCCCACCGGCCAGTGGGGGG